CAGCATCTTTTATCAGAAACCAATCTGCCCGTTGACTCACTGTAATGTGTTAGCATGGATACTATGTTGCTAATTGCAGTGTTGACTCGTCTTTTTTCCAAATCACTCACCTTACACGCAGTGTGATGTAATTCTGTATGATAAAAGTAAAAATCTGTCAAGTCATTCTTTCGTTTAGTTTGTTAAGTAAAAAGTAACTTTATACATAAAATCTAGGCATCAAATATAGTACATAAAAGTTAAAAGTTAGGTTTTTTGTTTTTCACCTGTATCATCTGTTAAAACTTGATCCAAATTTGAAATGCGACCCAATTCGGCCACAGTATCAGAGCAAACCTCCCTCCTACAAAACCCAAGAACTGTATCACGAAAACCCGACCCATTTTCACACAAATTCATCTCGATTCTTGAAAATTCACTCCCGGATCTTCTTGGTTTAGGCGTAATTGGGACTTGAACACCAACAAAATGGATCACTCTTCCATCTTCCTTGCTGAAAATAGGAAACATGTGGAACAAAATCCAAAAGGGTGTCCCATTTTTATGGTAATTTAATAAACTAACTTGTATACTTCTTTCTTCTCTAATGGCATCCCTTATCTCCATTACTGATCTCCTATTAGTCCTACTCCCTTGAAACATCCTTCCATTCTTTCCAATCACCTCTTCTCTTGAATACCCAGACATTTTCAAGAACTCCCTTGATGCAAAAACAATCGGGTGACCCGAAATTAACGGGTCGGTTATGGTGAAACTATGGGGTAGTTCGTCAAGAGCTTCTCGGACCCAAATTGAGTACCGATTATTGATGGATTGTTCAATTGAAGTACCCATTGGTTGTTGCTCCATGAATATTGAAACTTTGCTTGATTTTCAAACTCGATTTCGCTTAATACAAAGATTAATCCCAATCCCATGTGGTAAAGTTGGAGAATTTTTGGGCTTTTTCAGCTTTCAATGGATTAAACAACTAAAACCCCAAACTAGAGAAAGGGAAAGAAAGCAAAAAAGATACTATCTTTACAGCATAAAAACTTTATACCTACAAAACTCCATAATTTCCAAGTTCGTGAGTGAGAAAGATGAAGAATTTTGTTATTGGTTTTGAAGAAAATGAAAAGACACAACAAAACTAGAGGTTTTCATAACATAAAGATTGAAGAATTTAAGGGGCCCATAAATATACAGTTGTGAAGTAATTGAGTGGAGAAAAACCTCTTTTGTGAAAATATCTATGAAGTTGTCAAGGCTACGAGATACCCATCAGATGCATGAACAGTGGAAGAGGGAATAACTCAAAGTTTGTGGAGAGGAGAGAGGGGAAGGCCACGGCGAAGGTGAATCACGAAAAAAAGAAAATAATAGAAAATGGAAAATGAGAGGGGCTTCTAAAAGATTAGAACGAACCAAATAAGGGTTATAG